CCTAATGAATGAGTCTGAGGTGCAGTAGCAAATGAGAAGAGGAAAATATTGCCATTTTCAACATGTAAAGTGTGATATTTTAGAACTTTTTATTACTGTATAAAGTTGTTCTAACTTTAGCAAGATTTTGGTTTTCTAAAACACATGCTTGCTTAGTCTTTTGCAAAAACACTGTAGGGTGTTACTGAGATTCCCAAACCAGGTCTGTAGGAGCTAGTATCATATAAAGGGATGGTACACCTTGGTACTGCCTAAAATCAGTTTACTCTCTCCTTTGGCATTTCTGAGCAAGCCATTTATGGAAATGAGGTTAAATAAGGACTCTGGCTAACCTCTAATTAACAAACCCTTATGAGGRTTGTCCTGTATAAGGGACTGTGCTTTACTGCTGTATTCTGCAGATTCCTTACATTGCAGAAGAGTTTCAACAGATCTGTTCAGTACCAGTGTGAAATGAGATTAAGTGAAACTTTAAAACTGTAATTTTACAGTAGCACATCCCTAACTTCTTTTGAAGGACACTAACATTCCCATAAAGTGAGTAGCTYTCTTACATGTAGACCAGAGTTCTCATTGTAAGAAAGCCACGTGCTTCCTGTAAGCCACTGTTGGTTTGGTTCAGCAGGCTGCAGGCAGAAGTGTCTGTGTCTGTCATTGAGTTTACTTGAGTCTGTCTTACAGAAGTGTCTGTGTCTGTCATTGAGTTTACTTGGAATCCTGCATTTGTGAAGCATTGATTTACCAATGCATTTATTCCAATAATCTCTGTTTTTCTTCTCAATCCCAGGGGCTGTTGCTGCAAAAGCTACTAGCTCATTGACAAGGGGAAGAGAGCTTTGCTTTGTARCAGATATCTAGTCTGTCTTTACAGCTGCAGTTCACAAACTCATCACTATGTGATCGAACATGGTTTCACATCAAGTTACATGTGTACCTCTTTCCATCACTGTGGTAGTTCTTGCTTGYTTGATATTTTAAATAACTGAAATTCAGATCTGTGGAATATAGAGCAAGAAATAAAACTTAGTGAAATTTCTTATTTGGTCATAAAAGTCCAGTGGAAATCTGCGGATCATTGGCTCTACAGAATTGGCTCACCTGTGAATTCCTTGTGGCAAATCTTCCCCTTTTTTACTGTTTTTCTCCTCCCTCTTCTTCTTCCACACCTCCTAAGGGCAAAATTGTCATAGGCTACATACCATTAAGGAACTTTCTGGGGTGTGCAAGGATTGCTGTGGAGTTGGGGGAAAAGCTTGAGAAGGCAAAGGAAACTTGTCAAAAGGATAAGATTTAAAACTGTATTGTGTTTGTGATCTTGCTTATGTTTTGGAGTGTGGGGTTTTKTTTCTTTTTGTTTTATGGTTTGGTGGCTTTTTTTCTTTTACTTGGTGAGAGTTTTTGTTGTTCTTTAAGGTTTTGTTTTTGTTTTTCTGGACTGAAACTAAAATATCTTAGCCTGTCTGTTATTTACTAAAGTATGTATGTATCTGGTAGATACAGACCAGAAGTCCTTGTGGTGTTCCAGGGTTATCAAAGTAGRCAAATGGGAGCTGAAACCTAAAGTGTCTCTGAGGTATAGCTTAGTAAGAATATGACATCACTTTAAATTTCTTTGTCAGTTTTCCCACAGAAAAAGCATATCTGTCTTATACTAAAAAAAACCCTTGTTTGTTACCTGGCTACATCTGTATGAGGTGTATTCTCTGAATGTGCCATTRATAAGGTTTCTTTTCTAAAGAATAAAAGAGAAAAGGGTGAGCTGGTCTGTGCCTTGTAGTCTGGTGGTTTTGACCCATCCTGACTAAGCTGAATGAATTGATACTTCCTTTCTCATCTGTGTTTTGTGTAAATAAAGACTGACCTAGTTTAGGCATTAAAATGCTGCTGGTTTTGAATCCCAAGTGGAAAAGGGGACTTTTGAGTTTATGGCCTGGTGAAAAGAGGKGTTTCTGCTGGCTCTTGTTGAGGAGTTCATGCCTCTATGCTCCTCTGTGTTCTCTCTCCCTGTGCCTTGATGTGACATCCTGTGTCCATGCTGTGAACTGGGGAGGGGAATCCCTGAAGCTGTTGGGACCAACAAAGATGCTTTACTGACAGACTGCAGATAGTGTTGTAAGAAATGAGGCTTTTATCATTCTGCTGCTTTTGTCTCTGTCTCTGCCTTTCCGTTTCCTGCTCATGATTACCTTTGAGATTTATTAGATTTGAGCAATTTCTACAGATGGATACTATTCTGCAAGTGCTGAATAGGAGTAGGTGACTATGAGACTATACCACAGGAAATCAACTTCTCTGTTAGGCAGCAGAGAGTCTGTGGGAGCCGGAGTACTGATGAAGAGAAATTTACTATTTGAACAGCTAGAAAAGCTTCAATTGAAACTCTCATCATCTTGAGTACTACAGAATGCAATTCTGAAACGTAGCCGCAGGGAAGCTTAGTAATTTTGTTGCTAGTGAAACTATGTGTTCCCTATTCTGTTCTCTGCTGTCAAATGCTTCCAGAAAAAAAAAAAAAAAAGGTAATAATTATGTGGTAGATAGAGTAATTTGAGGCTCTAGATGCCACTAGGTGGCAGAACCCCTGCATGTATTTTCTGGATTGCTTTCTGTGTCTTGATTCTTCATCTGAGTATATTGAAAATACTTTTCAGCTATCATGTAATGAGAATAGACATCAGTAGGGATGCTTACATGCTATCCTAATTGGGTTCATATTGACTGTTGTTGAGGGAAACGTGGARGGCTTGCAACACACCCTTATCCTTTCTTGTTCAGACTGCTACCCCTTCTGAAAAGCTTGCTTCTCAAAGTAGTTGCATTTAGCTGCACTCAGATGTCAACACATAATTATTTTCTTTCCCTTTTACTTGATTCTGCTGTTAATAGATGAAAAATTAGATTACAAAGTGACATTTAAGAGGAATGATTTGTAAAGAAAACAGTGGCAGGAACATGGAGATGGTGAATGGTTTAACTTATGGTAGCAGGTGTGATTTCTGAGTGTTGGAAACTCAGTGCTTTGGGGTGACTCATTTGTGTTGGTGAGGCCCTTGTAGTTGAGTAGTTATCAGCAGGAAAAAAGTGTGTCTTGAAGAATACATGTTAATGATTCTTTTTTATAAGGTTCCTCTTCTCTTAGTGCTAGTCTCTGATTGAAGCGTGCTTGTCATCCATTCAGTGTGGAGATCATTTTAGCTTTGTTTTATTGCAGTTTTTACTTACAGAAAAGCTGGGATGGTGGCTGAAAACAGTCCAAGAATAGGGTCATTGCTTGCCTGTATTTATTAGTTGAAGGCTATGTAGTTGTGGGTCTTGTAGATGGGATAAATTCTGCAATTATTATGTATGTTTGCATGTTGTATTAACTGGGATACTGCCCTTATCCTGCATTAGAGTATCCAGTGTCACTAAGGTAGGAAGGTATCCACATCCTCGTGAGCTCTTCTAATGAAGACTTCTATGAATGGATGCTGAGTGATGAATCTGRTCCATACTGATTGACGAATCTAAAAGCAGTATTGGTCTATTTCTTTTGGTGGTGAATTTTAAGGACATCACCTAGATACTTCAATTTGGAGTATTAAAACTGAAGTGTCAGATTTCAAAGCAACTTCATTAGGGTTTGCAAAAGGTATCAGAATCACTTAAGATAATGTGATACCTACTCTGCATTTTGTATACAGTTAATGCTGTGCTGCATGAGGGCAGTTTAATTCAGATGTTTCTGACCACCTATAAAGAAATATGAAGGGATAACAGATTCTTCCCTTTGTTGAATAAATATTGCTTTATTTTGTGCTTCTGGAATAATGACAYGAATGACAATGACCTTTTGAATGTGATGTCTTGGAGGAATTTTATAARTCTCTTATTTATCAGTAAGTTCAAACAGAAGTTTGCATGCAAATGTTTTTTTTCCCTTCTCAGKTTTCTTTCAGCATTCCAGTCAGCTGTGCAGTCTTCTTACTCCTTTACCCTTTTAGTATGTCTGCTGCGCCTGTTTCTAACTGTCTCTTCCCCAGTTACTCTGCCTCAAATCAGTCCTTCCTTCTGATAATCTTCCTGGGTATGCCCACACCTCCTGAATGCCTCATTCCTTCCTTCATCCTCTGTGGATCTGCTCTGAACAGCTGATCAGGAAATGCCAGTGCTGTTGCAGCCACTGTCCAGCTCTGCAATTCCACTTTGGGGATGTTACTGGGGTGTTTGTGAACTTGTGCTCTTGGTGGTGGTGCTAGATGTAACTCTCATTCTAGTCTGGCCAAGGTTGGTTTGGGTTTTGGTGGGTTTTTTTTGGTGGTTTGTTTTTGGTTTTTTAAAGGAGGAGATTTTAGGCTGTCAGATGCAAGCAGCATGGCCTGTCTTGAAAAGTTCTTTATTGGCATGCATGTCTGAATCTAGTTTGTCTCTACTTTTCCTTTTAAAACTATTAGTGTTTGTTTGAAGTGTCTCCATGAAATGTGCATGGAAACATTGAAGGAAGTACTGTGAAGGAAAGAATTCAGCCAAAAAACAGTAGTTTTCGGAAAGGTGCTACTTTGGCTGAGTCTCTTTATCGTGGAAATGTCAATTGAAACAACAACCCCAACTATCAAAAAGTCATCTGTTTTTTTAAAATAGACTATGCTGACAGAAATGCCTGAGGCATCTTGGTGTTCAGAATCATGTGTATAGTTTCTCTTTTGTATCCTGTYCATGTCATCAGCTCTGTGTAATTTCTGCCTACAAACCAATACCATGGAGATCGTTCAACAGGCTTTGTGGTGTAAAAGCCATGGGTATTTATGCATAATATGCCTTCAGCTCCAAGTTATGCTGAAAATATTGTTTTCCTGCATCCTACAGTATTTTCCAGATGATATTTCTTGAAAGTTTGAGGTTGGTTGTTATAAATTAGATTTTTATGGGTTTTTTTTTTTTCATTTTAAATAGAACTTTAAAAATCGTGCATAGTAAGCAATCTTCCTTTCAGAAAGAAATTTGTTGACTCTGTGTTTTCCTGTGATGTGTTGAAAATAGCTGATGGCTGGATTTTTGCAACTTGAGAGCTCCAACACACAAGATCTGTGTGATGCCTGGTGAATCTTGTCAGTTGAGACAGCATAAACCTAGAATACTAAACTGGTGATGAAAGCATGTTTGTACTGAGCAGGTGAGCCATGATATCTGGATGTAGCATCCCAATTTTGTTGACAGTTTGGAAGTGGTGGTGATTCTTGATGAAGCTATTGCAGTCAGGTAGAAAGAAAATAAGCTTTTTAACCCAGCTCTGGGAGACCTCAGATGCTCAAGAATTCAGTGTTGGTGAAGGGGGTTACTGAAATGTAGTGGGCATGTGGAGACACTGAAAGTACTATAATTGCAAGGATAGCTGTGGAGTGTGTATTAAGAATTGTGGTATTGGAGATAATGGTGTATTTCTGTTGGTGAGACAATGACTAATATCAAAGAGACATTTCCCCTTTGTGGTAGAGGTCTTGCATGGGGTCTTGATGGGTTTTCGTTCAGAGAGAGGAACTGGAAATCCACCATGAGGGAAAATACCTTGTGTAACACATCAGCCTTGGGTTATATTAGACCCTGCCTTGGAGTGTGTGGAACACTGTGTGATATCTGCCTGTGAGATTGGGTGACTCACTCAAAAAGAGGCTTGGCTTTAAAACACTGTTTTGTCCTGATGTACAGGGTCGTACTGAGGCTGTRTGAGTGCAGTGAGCTTTATTTAGAAATTCCTGAAGTGATAATGATGATCTTTTTAGCCTGCCTGAAACAAGATGCAGAGATGACGGACCATGCTGGTTTGAATGTCCAGRTCGTGGCTGTGGTTCAAATGAGTTTTCTGCTGGCTCCTGTGTGAAGAAATTTAATTTCATCCTTGCAGTTATTTTTTTCATTTCACGGTAGATGTAATTGCTAACTGGGATGCAAATGTTTTAATGCTCCAGGGTAGCTTGTTGTGGGATATTCTTTTTCTGCTTATTTATGAGAGTATGTCTGGGGACTGGTGCATTGGTCTGGAGTGTCTTGTGCCCCTTAGGGACCTCAGTGACCCTGGGCYGTTGGTTTCACAGGGCTTCTGTGACTCTGCCTGGCCAAGAAGCTAGGCAGTAAGCTTCTCTAGAGATGTCACACTGGGTTAAGTGAATTAGATTCGGACTGTGCAGCCGGTGGTTCTTACCAGCTCCAGCATGATCCTTTTTAGCAGGTGGATTAAGTCTATCAGCTCTGCAGTCCCTGGCTTCCATCAGTCTTGAGCCTGTGGATTCATTGGCACTGGAGAAGGTAAGTCCCTTAAAAGGGAATTTTCTTTGGAATAAAACCACCCCATCAAACCCAGCATCACCTTCAGTTARTTTTTGACGAGGCAATTGTAAGAGTTAGTGCTGTGTGTTTAGCCTTTTATCACTACTGCTGCACATGCCAAATTACCRTAACTTGGATCACAGTTCTCACATTTCTCAGCGTGACTTTTTGAGTCTGACAAAGTTCTGCTGGATCCAAGGGGATCACAGAGTGCTYAAGAGCAGTTCTGTGGCTTTCTCATGTGGTCCTGCTGCTCTGTTTGGACAGGGTAGGAGACAGATTACAGACTGCAGTTGCTGGCACTGGGCATCTGCAGAAGCTGCTCATGGATGCTCTTGTTCATCTCGCTCAGGGCTGCCCTATTAGGGCTTAGCAAATGGAATGTTAAAAGTACAGACATTTTATCTGTGGCARACAGGAAGTATCTCTCAGGTACAGCCAGGTTATACAGTTTTCTCTTTCGTGTTTAGAAGTTCGTCGATGGATTGTGGTTCTTAATGTCCAAAAATAATGACATAATTGASACTTCCGCTGTTTGTGGCCTGAGAGAAGATACAGATACTTACAATTCTTACTGTTCTACAGTGAACATTGGGCAGCAGTGGAAGGAAAGATAACCATTGTCTGAGTCAACTCACTCACCTGCCCCCATCACAGATCTTGACCACATAGGAATTCAAATACATTTCAGTTATTGATTCTTAATCTATAGAACTTGAAGTAGCAGTTAAATGGAGGGAAGAGCATTAACAAAATCGTCATGGATCAAGAATTTAAAAATTGGGGAAGAGGGATAAATGTTGAAAACTGTTCTTGACTTGCTTTCTAGACATAAGTAATGAGAGATTTKGGGTTTCTGATCCATTTGAAGCATCTCTGCAGAGGATACTGAGTTTGTCTTGTGATATTTCCRGCCTTTTTGCTTGGAAAACAGGTGCTGAATCGTGAGCGAGTGTTCACTGGAATTTATAGTACTGCTGCACTATAGTTTTCACTAATGAAACTTCTGTTGTAACAAATATGGGTTGTCATAATTCATATTATATTGTAGGTACCTTGATTTGAAACTTCCTCTTGTGTAGTCAACAAACTTGAGGGTAACTGAATCTCCCCTACTTTTCTTGTACATTTTGCTCTTAGAGTTTTCTAACAGTAGTCACTTTCTTTTCTACATACTAATATTTGTGTTGACTTTTCCTCAGCTAGTTGAGGGAGCTTTATATTCTTACATTTCACTTAATTTACCTCTGCAATTAACAATTTAGGGAGAAGTTCATTGTTCCTGATAATAAAATCCTTTCTCTTCTAGTCAAGACATCTCCTTTGTTCTGTACTGTATTCCCCAGAAATGGTGACGTGTTCCCACTTCAATATTATGCTAAAATTGCTCCTTGCTAATTGAATGTGGAAGTACAGGATAACTTTTTAGCACAGTTTGTAAGGGTTCCATTTCTATAATTCCATGGTCAAGAGAAAAAAAAATCATAAGTGTGTTTTTAGATGTTAGTAATGAAAATTTTAAAATCACATTTAACTGAAAAACTACCCAAAGCAATTAAAAAACCATGAAATGTCCCAAAACCAAAAAAGCCCAACAGCTGGAGAAAGTAGGAGAAGCAACAACCACTACCTTTTCCTTTCACTCTCTTCCCTTTAGAGAAGAGGTGTCTGAATTGCATTAATTTTCAGTATTTTGCTCTTGTATAGTCATGTTTAGATTCTCCATATTGTGCAGCTTGCCTCTGTGCTAGTTAGATTTAATTTTAAAAAAGTCAACTTCTTTATTTTCTTAAAGTTCCACGTTATGTAAGAAGCAGGTTACCTTTCCTAGGTCAGAAGACATGTAATAAATACCTTGAAAACCAAGTGCTTGGAGAGCTTCCTAACATTTAAGTGTGGTGGGAATTGCCCCAGTTGCAGTCTTCAGCTCAGACACAACCTCATTCTCATGCTTTCACAGAATGCTTGTCCTTGAACATGAAGATGAGTAACATAAATAGAAGTACTCAATATTGATTCCATGCTAGTTCTTTTTAATTCTTGTGTGAAGCATGTCTTCCTTAAGATTTGGATTTTGGAAATAAATTTATTAATAATTGTGACAGACTTCAGAGTCCTTTAGCTTTTCCAATCACTTTTGGAATATAAAATATTTGATGTGAATATTAAATAAATCTCAAKTCTTCTCTCTTCAGTAGTTCCCCTCTTCCCTTCTCCCCCAGTCTGTGGACAAACCTTTGCCAGTTGTAGTCTTCACCTGTAGTATTTCCACCACTGTTGGAATTCTTTTAATTCTGACATGTTTATACAGACGTAATTATTTTTTGTAAGTCCACGTTCATAACATTCCTATTACAATGTGCTCCCATTAGCTCTTAGTACCCAATATTGATGTTGTTTTATTTAATGGTGGGAGTTTTCTAATTGTTTTCTGTTATCACACACCAATGATTTTATTCTCTGAAAAGAATTCTGTTTGGTTTATGTATTTGTGTATATAATGTGTATGTCAACTGATATATTGCTGACTGAATTCTAAAATGTTAACTATAAAAAGTTTATTTTAAATAGTRTCTAAAGTCTCAGTTAAAAAATAAAAGGACTGTCTGTCCCTGTAAGATTTGAAAAGCAACCCTAAAATATTTTGGAGTAATATACTTTGTACTCAGCCTCATTCCTGTCTCTGCATTGCCTGCCTGTTGCCTTTTACTTTCAAAGCTGGCGGTACAGGTAAAAACTTCAAAGATTGAGGAAGAGGATGCACTTGAGCTCCCCTCAAAGCACTTTAGAGAGGAAGTACAACTGACTCATCTGAGATTGTCTATACAGCAAATGCTGGTAAGTGTATTAAATGAACTGGAAAAAATTGTCTATGGTCTTTTAATTTTAGCAGTCCTGTAATAGGACTACTGTTTAGATGAAAATGTGTGTTTGCTTTTAAAGGTGAATGATGCTAAGTTAATCATCCTGTCTTTAATACATCTCTTCTGTTATCTTGGATGGCAAGTTGTCCATTTCTTTCAAACAATACAGGAAGTTACTTTCCCTAGCCTGCTACCTTTCTTGACTGGCTTTCTTCCTTATAGTATATTCTCCTGWTCCTTTCACAGTAATAATATTTCTCAGCAGCAACTCCACTTATCCACATACTTAAAGCACTACTTTTTTGGTGGAGGGGGGGAATTGATTCCTGAGGTATCCGGGGACACATAAGTGAAAGTGTCATTTGCTAACTACATTGAGTGTTTGTAACACTCAAACTATTTTGAACCCTTCTGTAATCRGATTTATTTTATGTCTCCATAATCATGGGGATACACGATATGATAATAGCTAGATGAGTGTCAGCTGATTAAATTGTAACTGCTCTTTTCCACATGCATTGGTTAGTGCAAATGCAAATTCAGATTTCTCAGTTTAGTTGAAATATGCAGTTAGGGCAGAGTGAGCCAAGGATTTCTTGCCAAGGATTACCTGTTAGGTGCTATTGTTTTAAGACAAGGTAATATTAACATGGTTTATATAGCATATTTGTGTTCTTGATATCACTGGAAGTGGAAATTTAAAATTTGACCATTATTCTCCATCCTTAGTTTCTATTCTTGTTATGTTTGCTTTATACACTACTGCTGCTCTACATTAAACTTTTTTTTTTGTTTGTTTGTTTGGGTTTTTTGGTTTTTTTTGTTTTGTTTTGTTTTGCTTTGTAAGCCCAAGAGAGCCCTTCAGTAATATAGTAGATTTTTGTAGCTTCTTTTAGAGACAATTCAATTGTGGTAATTTCCTGGGAAAAAATTACACAGCTCCTTTCAGATGCTTTGAGTTTTGTTTTCTCTGAATTGATCTTCTCTACCCTACTTATCCCTACCCCCACAAATTTCCAAATATACTTTTTCATTGGTTTAATTCTGTCAACTCCAGACACCTTCAGTTACATACTTCTGAGTAGCTTTAGGTGTTAGATATWTATGTCATTGGCTGAAAAGTTTTGTGGAAGTTATGCTTAGACCACTAATGATTGTGTCCCAGTGAGACACAGAACTTTTGTGCACTTTTGTATTTTTTTTTCCTTTTTTGTGGGGAGTTGCATGTAGCAGGCTTTCCATCAGTAGAGGCTGGAATCCTTGTTTCCCTTCAGCATTTTCAAACTTGTTTCTTAATGGCTTGAGAGGCTGTATTTGAAGCAAATCTCTGCTTGCTTATCTTACAAACTTTTCTTGCATTAACAAAAGCAAAAATACTTTCTGAAATACTAGTTGTCCCCTCTGCTGCACAGCTATTGAAAACTCTTGGTAACATTTTGCTTTTCTGGTGCTGTYTTTCCTGGTAAAACGTTTCCATGTTATAATTACTGATGTAGTTAATAGGGAACCTTGAGAAGCAAATAGGCTTTCCATGACAATTTATTAAACATTCATAGAAACATCTGCTGACTCCAGTAAGGACTGAAGTAAATGCCACACTGTCTCATGGGAACACTTTGGAGCTTAAGGCTSTAAGAGGCTTCCAACACTCCAAGTTAATTTTAGCTATGAGACAGAAAAATTCAAGGAACGGGAYACTTAAGGCTGTCTATTTGAACATTGAGAGACAAATACAACTTCACAAAGGTTCTCTTACGAACTCTTTTGTCCTGAAATACCCATGTCAGGATGTGAAGTGATACCAGACAAGCGTCAGTGTGAGTACATGGGTTTTGTCCCTGTGCAAAGGGACTGGAAACTGAAAGGATAGAGTAAGAAAGGCAGTGATGCCTGTTGATGGGAACTTTGATTAAAGAAAAACAGGCAGTGGTGTGACCAAAAGTTGGATGATTTAAATTAAAAAAACAGAAGAGAGAAACCAAATAGATGATAAAGTTGACAATTTGAGGTCCTTGTGAGTATCAAAGAAGAAAGGCTGAGTTGTGATGATGGCAGGTGTGGTGCACAGGAAGGAACGGAATGGAAGTAACAAAAGAGCTGTTAATGTCATAACTGAAGAAGATAACKGAGTGTGTGTGAATTATGTGCAGTTTTGAGAAGAGGAAAAGGGAGAAGGTGAAAAAGGCAGTCACTTAATAAAAGCCTAGCTCTGTARCTAGGTGAGGATAAGACAGTCTTGAGAAGGCTCCGGGATGCTTGAGCTGCTTGAGAGCAGTTGAGAAGAACRCCTGTCACTGCGAGTGGAAGAGTGTCACTCTTAAGGAAAATTGTCTTACTGGGTGATGAATCATTGACAGGAAAAAGTACAGAAGATACAACTGAGCAAAGAGAAGAGAATTAATTCTCTGGGGMAGAAAAGTCAGCTGTGGATTTGGAATGTAAGGGCTCTCTTTGCTTTTGATTTTGACAGAAACATGACATCTGACACAGGTGATACTGCCATCCTGGAAAGTCATTGTAGTGTTAAATACCTATTGAAGGGCTTTTGGCAGCCTGATGGTTTACAAATGTGTTCAGACAGCATTTGATAAGATAGATACTGAGTAGTGGCAAGGTGCAGTCTCTCAGGGTGAAGAACTGCAGTATTGCCCACTTAAAAGCTTGTTTTTCTAGGTCAATGCATCCGTGTGAAGAAATCTTCCTTCTGTTATTGTAATTAATTTTATATTGAAGCAAGGTGAGTGAGTTGGGAATGGAGTACCACTTAAAGCAATGTTAGAAGCAGTGGTTAGGTGTTTGAAGGTGTTTTGAGCACTTCTGTGTAGAGTACCTACTGGGTCAAGATTTTGATCCTGTAGCATGAGGTTAAATCTTCCATGCCCTGGAGTAAGGGTTTTTGTTTTGGGTTTTTTTTTGGTTTTTTTTTTAAACCTGTTGGTCTTCATGCTTAATGGCACATGTTAAGCTTTAAGGTTTTGGAGGTATTCAGCTTCTGATTTCGAACTGGGAATCTTAAGCTCCTCTTCAGTTATCCTGGCTAATTCCACATGCTTCTTCATTTTCATAGGGGTGTTCTGTGTGTTTGAATGGCAGGAAGATTGGGTACACTTCTATGTTTATTCTGTTCTCACACAAGCTTAATGCTTGTTTCGTTCCCCATTTAATGTAATTTTTAACTTTCCTTTGCCATGGTTTTTCTGCTTGTATTTTGCTGCTAAAGGTGTTACCATAATTTTGATTGAGTGGTTTTTAAGCACTGTCTGAAAAATACAGAGCCCCAAATACAAAWGCCTATCTATTTTTGTGGAGAAATGGACCTATAACATTTTCATAGGACCAGAGATTCACCAAATGGTTTGGGTTAGAAAGGACCTTAAAGATCATATGGTTCCAACTCCTCTGCTCTGAGCAGGAACACTTCCACCATCCAACTTGGCACTGAACACTTCCAGGATGGTACATCCACAGCTTCCAGGGCAACCTGTTCAAATGCCTCACCACTCTCACTGCAACACTTTCTTTCTTTCTTTCTGATATCTAATCTAAACCTACTCAATTTAAAGCCATTCCTCCTTGTCCTGTCACTACATTCCCTTCTAATTTGTCCCTCTCCATGTTTCTTGCAGATACCCTTCAGGTAGGCTGCMATTAGATCACCCCAAAGCGTTCTCTTTTCCAGACTTAACAAACCAAATTCTCTCAGCCTTTCCTTATAGGAGAGGTGTTCCATCCCTTTGATAATCTTTGTGGCCCCTCTCTGGACTTTCTCCAACAGGTCCATGTCCTTCCTGTTCAGGGACCCCAGAACTGGATGCAGCCCTGCAGGTGGGGTCTCAGCAGAGCAGAGCAGAGAGGCAGAATCCCCTCCCTCCCCTGCTGCCCACCCTGCTTTGGATGCAGCTCCAGACTCTCTGGGCTGGGAGTGCACATGGCCACGTCATGTCCGGCCTCTCTTCCCCCTGCATTCCCAAGGTTCTCTTCTTTTCCCCAGGGCTGCTCTCCATCTGTTCACCCCAGCCTGTGTTCATAGAGGGGTGTCCTTCAACCCAGGTGCAGCCCCTTGCACTTGGTCTTGTTAAACCACATGAAATTCACATGGASCTGCTTCTCAAGCTGACATTTTGGGCTACCCATGTGAGTATCCCTCCAGGAATACTCAGTGGCAGTCARTAAAGGGACTCCATTCTTTCAGCTTTTTCACCTTAGCTGAGGTGTTGTCTGAGCCATGTTTGCTTTACATAAAGTGAGCTCCATACTGATCTCAAGTCAATAATTCAAACAGATATAACTTCATTGATGTGTTGTCTGTATTTGACACACAGATGTTTTCTGTGGTTTAATTTATTTTATCAAATGATGACATTTTTCTCATRTACTGTTGTTTCTCATTTCACCTCTATTTGCTAGGTAGCTGTAGTTCCTGGATGTTTACACCTACATGTAACTTAGTGGACAGAGCTAAAACAGAAAAARATTTTTTCTGAGACATGTTTTCTGTAAATTATAGTAAAATTAAGTAACTGTCCTTGAAAACTGTATCATTTGTGGAATCAGTGGTTTATTTTCAATTCTCCACTCCTAAAGATGGAATTTCAAAAACTTTCTTTAAAGAAACTTCTCATAAAGAAAGTTAACRTCAAGAAAATGTGAACTTCAAATAGAAAGATGATCTCATTCTTGTTTTCTCTCATCATCTTATGTATCATCACATCAACCTCTTGTCTGTAGCTAAGATTTTTATACCTCTAAGTTCCACAAAGATTGAATTTCAAATGTGATAATGCCTGTAAGTTTGGCAGCTGAGATACCTGTCACTTTTACTTTAAAATAAAWGCCACATTTTTTTGATAAAACAGTTGTAATACTTGTAAAAGGCATGYTAGAAGCATGAAATCTTATGACATCTTTGTCATGTGTCCTTATTTTAGACAGGTAAATTGTCTTAAATTGGCTCATGGAGTTCCTAAAAACAGTGTTTTGCACTAGTCAATACATTTTATATTCCTCCTCTTCAAAGACTTCTGAGAATTGATAATATGTTTCCCTCTGTACAAAGATTAGATCAATTTTGCAGCTACTTTCCTAAATTCCAACAAAAGGAATAGGTAAGTATAACATGCTTGTCCAGGCACCATAATAGCAGTAAGTCCTATTCCTGTGTAACTTGTTGCACTCCATTAAGCTTTGTCAGGTTCCCCCAGTGTTTAGATGACACAGGTTTGGATGCATGCCTCAAGTGAGCTTTTGGCCTCTGGCAACTGTTCATAGCAATCTTTCTTTTGTCTCTGATTTCTTCAGCAGAGATTCCTATTTCAGAGATGTGTAGCAGGGGAGAARAAGAGATATCAGCAAGCCAGTGCTTCTCTCTAGCCTCCTAATGCCTCACGCAATTACTTTCCCTTTTTCTTCCTCATTATGGTTTGGTGGTGAGGTTTTTCTGGACTTTCACATGCAGTTTAGATATCCATGGTATAGAAATGTGGCTGAGATAGAAGTGCACAGGCTTCCCTGATGACCTTGATTGACAATTCTTTTGCTTCCTGGTAGGTGGGAGCCATAACACTTAGTATAAGGACTCTGTTGTAGGCTGGAGGAAGAGGAAGACTACAATAAACAGGACAACTGGTAAGTAACACTTACCCCCTCCCATAAAAGTCCTCCCAATWTATAGCAATTGTTCTGGAAAAAAATGATTGATTCTGCATGAAAATATGTCCATGCTTGAGGCTTCCCAGAAAATGTTCTGTATTACCTAGTGACATACCTTAAACTCTCAGGACATCAGAGTGGCAAAGAAAAATTGTTTCAAGTTTTGAGGGTGCAAAGGGCAGTCTCAATATGAGAGGCTTCAGGGTAGCAGGTATTTCCAGTGTATTTCTGGATTAYAAGTGCTCAAATACAATGTTAGGAAGTGTATTAATTTTTGCTGTGGGTGAACTTTCCATTCTTACCTGTCAAATAGAATAGCATGGTTTCCTACAAAAGGATTAAAGGCATTTCAAAGCTACATCTGCTGTTTATCTGTACAGCATTTTGATGTTGTAGGCAAACATGTTCATGAATCAAAATGCCTCTGATATGTGTTTGGAACAATGTGTTTCATTGCAGTACTCTAAATCTTTATGATTTCTCGGTGATGGTAAAATAGACTTAAGGATGGACTACTTGGTTTTATATATCAGTAAATCCCAGTAAAATAGCACATGTATTTGTAACCAGAGGAAGAGAAGGCTGAAATAGTGACAGCAACCTTTCTTGTCCATCTGTACTTGAACAAAATGAGTGGTGCCACTTAAGTTCAGTATGTGTTGCAATTACTGCAGCCATGAAGAGCAGGTGGCTTCTCAATGCTTTGTCATGAAAATGRTTTTCAACTTCTCAATGCTGTGTGCTGAAAACAATTAGTTTTAAGTACAGCATCAACACTGCAGCTCTTTTTTAGTGTTRGTTTTCAATGTAAAGTGCATGAGCGTGGTTGTTGTGCCAGAGCCAGCATTAAAAATTACTGGAGAGGTTTCAGGAATTGTTTTGCCCTTGTCCACCTGATAAGTTTCATAAGGTACTAGAAGGCAATGATAGCACATAGTAAAAGCTCTGGTCACAATAGGCTGGGAAAGTTACTGTGTTTGGGTGAATTTTGCAATAATTTTGCAGGTGTAATCACAAAAACAGATTGTGGAATGCTCATTCATTGAAAAGTGGTTACCTTCTTTCTGAATGGGCAGTGAGTTGGAGTAAATTTGTGTTTTCAGGGTGGCAGCCTCCAGAAGGCCTAGAGCAGAGTTGGTGAGGTAGTGATGCTGACAAAGAGATCTGCTTAGGCAAGTAACTTTTTACATTATTTGCTGAAATTTGCATGATGATGAAAAGCTATGGGCAAAGCAGGACAGATGGATTAAAAATGCAGCATCACATGAGTTTGCCTTTGGATCTTGAGTATCCAAGGATAAATGGTTTCTTTCTGCAGGATAGAATAAAGYATTGTTACAAATTAAAATTGCTGTCCCTTGCATCTATCAACAGTACTTTAACAAGAATGGGAAACATTGGAGGACGAGACACGCTTGGTTTGTTACTGGGCTCTTTGTTGAATATGTAAATATAAACTAATCTTGTAATCTTTGTAAATGTCAAACTTTTACTTGACCTCCAATTACATGCAAGTATTGCCTTCAAAGAGTTTTACTTAAAAAAAAATCAGCTCATGATTCATAATTTAATACCTCCCTTGGTTTTATTGTCATCAACTTTGCAAGCTAGAGTTATTTTTGGCAACATTACCATGCTGTCATAGATTTCCACCCTTCATGCCTTGAAAGCATGTGTCTTAAAACCATATTAATGCTTTTTCAGACTTCCTTTACTTCAGCTCTATATATAAGTAGTCTGGTAACTCAGCAAGCTATAGCAAGACAGACTATATGAAATTTTCTGTAAGTCTGGCAGGGTTCCTCCTAAGGCCTTTGAAATAGAAATATTCTTTCCGCTTCAGTTTCTCAATCTGAGAAACTACTGTGCAKCTCTGTATAGCTTAATAAAAATTAGAGGGTGCTCATGTATTTTAGTATCCCTAATAACAAAGGCAGTTGAGGCTAAAGGGCCAGGCTTGCTGCGCTCTGAAGACAAATGGAGTTATCCCACAGTTGATTTTAGTGGACAGTTACATTTTAAGCGAGATTATTGAAGCTGAAAGAAAATGGTGAATTAGTACTGAGAACTTACTGGCTTCCTCTTGGAGCTATTAAAAGTCATAAGCATTTAACTTGTGTCCACTCTCAGATGTCTTGAAGGAGGAAGAAACACTTTGGCTGCACATGTCAAATAAAAGGTGTGCTGAAGGCTGGCACATATGTCTATAGCCCTTAGCTTGCTGTTAGTTACTCTGTGACCCTTTCACGAACAGTTTGTCTCCTACAATGATGYGGCTGGGAGAATGTCCAGTAGTAGTTCTAACTAAAAACAGCATTGGTTTCTGCTTTGATATATCTAGTTAGCATCCATGCCATCTTACCACTTCTGATTGGGAGCAAAGGGCTTGATAGTCAGAAGAAACAGATTCAGTGCAAGACAGGTCCTTTTTTTTTATTTTCTCACTTTTCTTAGAAAACATGAGAAGTCTGCTTAATTGCTTTCTTCCCTCTTCCTACTCCTCTGAGTTGTTCAGAAAATTGTAGTTGTAATATTCTTACAGGTTTCTGTGCAGCTTTTATTTCCCATTCCACTTGTTCCCATACGATTTAGAAAAGTGGCATTTCCCCACTCCAGCAACAGCTGATTTTCCTCCTCAAAGGAACTATATGGATGTAACTAACAACTTCTACTTATATGAGAAATTTCCCATATGGAAATGATCAAAAGACATTAACTGCAAAGTAGTGTATGGCATGATGTGGAAGTGCCATAATTACTGGTTCTCCATTGCATGCACAGGGAACCATCAGCCATCTGACTAATAATTGACAATTTATAGGTGATTATAGCTAATGGTGGTTGTTATAAATTATGCATGGACCTTTAAGATTAAGAAAATACTCCAAGACCAGAAATTGCTTCAAATGTGTATCCTACTTAGAGTGAGGGATAAAAGACAACTGGTTTGGAAAAGCATGCTTTCCTGGTAAATTCAAGCWTTCAGGGTGTTTTAATAACTGTTTTGAACAGTAAATGAACTCTACATGATGAAGGCAAGCGAGGGAGTGATGTGCCTGGGTGTGTGACTAATAAGTACCGCAGGGCAGAGCAGCACTTTCCCCAGTTAGTTGCTCAGCAAAAGGTTCAGATTAAAGCATTTTTGTGAGGCTTCTCCCTTGGAGATTCCCCACCTTGTGTGTACACTTGAGGGAAGACTTTTCTGCTTTGTAGCTCTTCTTTGATTTTTTGCATTGTCTTGGTGACCTATACTCCCCTCATTGTTTTCATTGGCTATAATTTACTGCAACAATTCTTCATGCTTGCTTTATTAAGTGGGTGATGGGAACTGTAGAGGTGGTTCGTGAGTCATTTAATATTAAACAAGAGAGGAAAGAAGGGTGGCAAGAACAGCGAGTTTGTTTTTATAATGTTGATGATTACTGACTTTGCTCTTGAGGAATATTGAGTAATTAGCAYTTGCTTAACACAGACTTCAGTTGCACCAGAAGCTGAAATAGCATTGTTGGAGAGCAGCGTAAGTATCATGAAGGGCAATGCTAAATGCTAGGRTGTTGAATGCTGTAGTACCAGTACATTGGGATACTGTGTCATGTTAAAAGAGTGGATTTTTGTATTGCAGTTGGTTCTGGAAGTGGTAATAAAAAGCGTATGAATTAATGTTTCCACACGATTATGAGTTGCGCAAGAAGTAAACTATATTAGATGTATCCAGAGAAACCAGCAATCCAGGAATATGTAACAAGCTCTTCACACAACGCTTCTGTCCATGCTGTTTCTATTTTGGAGGGAGGTAAATACATAAACTTGAAATAAATACGGAGGGGGAGAGGAGACTAAAAACTGATCATTTAATGAACAATGTGATGACTGAAAGTCTGTTGGGATACAGCTGAAAGGGCATACTGTAATTAGGTCATTTGATGACCTGTTTAAGTAGCCATTACATACTGGAGCATTTATTCATTTTTTAATGAATAAAAGATCTTCACTGAAGATCTGCTGAGAGTCAAGGTTTTCATCTTCCTTCTTTCATTAATTTTTCCTTTTTCCAAATATATATACATGGCATCTATTCATATTGAGATTTCATAAACAGGCATTTTAGGTCTGCTAAATCATAGTTGTTACTTCATGTATCTCCTACTTTTTACAATGTCTCTTGTTGCAATCTCTGCAGAGAGGAGTAAATGCAGATTTCTGCAATTTCAGAGCTCCCTGTTTTTGAAATGAGCATGTTTAAATGTATGTATCAGTCTTAGTTTTAAAAATCATAAACTGTTCTTTCACGTCCTAAAATTATCTGACTTGGACTGTAGCATAGATCTAGCAGTAGCTTGCAGGAAAATAACATTCTGGAAACCGCATCATTCAAGGAAATTTGGCACTTTATTTTTACTATGTCCTTAACATTTAGCTATTCATGCAATTGCATTGCTCATTAATTATAAATTCCCACTTCTGCGGTTTCTTAAGAAGAGCTCTTGAGATTTTAATTGATAGTTCATCATCTTAAAATCATACTCCAATTCCTAGTTTCTAAATTTTTGGAWGAATATTTATGAATGGAAGGAGAAATATTTTCAGCACTAAGTGGAACACTTTTGAGAGGACAAGCCAAGATGCAATGGAGAAAGTGCTTGGTACTAATTTTAAGGGTTCCCCTATTAAGTTGCTAATCACGTCAGGCTTCACCTTCTGCTGCAGCACAAATGTGGAGAGTATAGTGCTGCCTATAACAGGTTTAACTTTGAAATARGAGAAATTAATGAAACCCAGGCATCTGTTTCCTGGATATTACTCTAAAATAAGGGGAGCTCTTCTATTTGGAGTAGTAGTTCCAGTAGGGTTATTAATTATGCCTCATTTCCTACCTAATTTTATTTGATAGAATTCAGCATACTTTTAGGTTACAGCATTTTCCAACACCAGATTCTTGTAYTGTGAGCCAGAATGTACCATCTAATCTGACCTCC